AAAAACCTATATATATATATATATATATATATATATATATATATAGCGTGGTTTGGCTAATTTCCTTTCATACTGGTCCTGCTACTTTTGATCGAGTGAGTATATGTGGTCCTAAATCAGAGTGATCAAAAGCCTATTGACCAGCTCTGATAATCAAGGCTTAATGACCCAAGAGAAAGCCCTGATCGAGACTGCGTAAATCCGTAGGCCATTTGCCCATCGGGCAACCAAGTAATCTTAGCTGGCGCAACGAGTCTCCCTATTGAACCGCTCAGAGCATAGCATTTAAAGTATTTTAACCAGGATTCATTCTGGTCTGACGACTGTTATTTTCACAACTCCTCTTTCCCTTTGCGAGGTATTGTGTCCGAACGCAGCTTTCTCGCATCTACGTCACATGCCCCCGCCTCCGTCTTTTTTGCCTTCCCACTCTGAATCCTTTCCTGTATTATTGCGGAGTCTTTAGTTTTAGGTAAAAGTGAATGATGAAGAGATTCATTTGTTGATCTCACAGGAAGACGAAGGCCGATTACTGTTGTTCTGCAATATTCAGGTTGATGCAATTCACGGAACATCCTCTCTTGATTCGGGTTATATCGGGCTAAGTTTTCGTCCATCGTATGATGTACATCATCAGAGCTGGAACTAATTCTTGGATTAATTCTTGTAAGTCATGCCGATACGAAGGTCGTATTAAAATCAAACAACTGCAAAACAACGGGAAGCGGTCGTTCTCTTCTGGTGAGATCAGTCAATGAGTCTCTTAAGCATGCATTTTCTTACGAAATGAAAATCTCCCCAACAAAGTTATTCTAAGTGATGAATCAAAGTCCAGCTACTTTTCGTAGCTATACAAAGAGCTCCATAAGTAGTTTTTGTTTCTTTACAAAAGGTCGGGGTATTCTACATAGTAACGCAAAATTGAGCACAAATTTTCAGTGATATCTATCTTACTAAGCTTATGGGCCCAGTTTAACCAAGTTCATATAAGTGGCCATCACTCAATACATACAGTAAGCTCGCTACTCCACCATCTCAAATACATAAGAAAACGAACCTAATGTCTACGATGAAGATAGAGGCACTTTCTCATTTGGGGATGTCAACTCCAAGGTGTCGAAACCTTATAGATCTCAACCTCATCTCTGGCCTGAGCTTACAGAATTTATTATTCAAGTACTACGAAGCCTGCGCAGTGAGATCCAAATCCTTATCGTCTTCAGGCATCTGTCAAACGGCATAACAAGCATCGCTCAACCTTTGCTCTAGGCCGACGAGGATTGGAGTAATATGTCAAACTTAATCCACATTTAATCAAACTTGTTTTACCATCGGAGCAGCAGAGGATGGAAGTCTTGCCTGAGGTATTACTATGAGATCAGATACCGTCGTAACTACTGATCCGTCTTCCACAGTTTGCCGAATCATTCTCCGATCATGACCCTATGCTTCTAAGGGATTGAATGAGGCAACTCCCATATCGAGATACAGGTGGCTATAGAGGCTGCTGGAGGATAGTCATTATAATAATCTGATAGAATTATTGATGACACGATGGGGACAATCCTCACGCATAATAAGACTTCCACGTTTGATGACAGACAACCACAGGATTCATCATTTGCAGCTGCAGTAACAGTTCCATTTCTATAGATCAAGATTAAGCTTTCAGAGACGCGTGCCTCCAGAGAGACGCTACTTCAGCTCTTATTCTTAGTGTTGGAAACTTAGATAGTACAGATGTTGTGTAGTCTCGTTTTCACAACTTGGTCGTGTTTTCTGGGCCATTTAGTTGGACTCACCTCGCCCGAAGTTCTCTTTTATATTAGTCATCATAATTCCTAGCATCGAACCGTTGACTTGGTGCATTTCCACACATACAATTTATGTACACAAATATTTCTGGAGAAAATGCGCTAATGGCCCTGCTGAATATCTTGAATTTAGAAGAGGATATCCTGGGGGCAGAAAGTATTATAAGAGAATGGTTAACACGAATAATCAAATCGACAATAATGACTACCTACTTCACACTCAACATCAACATCTATGAACATATATTTAGACTTCCTATGGGATGACCACTCTCACTTCTATTGGCAAATGTATAAATGAACAAATTATAAGATAATTTCAAAACGTCATTGCTGCAACTAAGAGTGTTTATGCGGTACCTGAATGACTGCTTCGCAAGTTGGTCGCATAGAAGAGAAAGATTGGGGGATTTCCTGAAGTCTATAAACCAGATTGATGAAAGAATCAAGTTCCTTAAGGGGATATAGGAGAGGGTGCATTTACCTTTCCAGATGTTGAAGTTATTCGTTCTAATGGAGCACTTAAGTGGAGATTACTCAGAAAGAAGTCATATGCCGGATAAATACTCAATTACGGGTCTACTTGCAACTACAGTCTGAAGGCAGGTATACTGAGGAGCATAAGCATCAGAAGCCTACGATTAACAGACGTGGAATTCCAGGATGAAGAATTGGACAAATTGACTCCGATATTCCTCGGCAATGATTAATCATGCGAATTAAGACAAGGGAACATAGGTGCCATGAAAATCCGATGGCAGGATTGGGATTATGAAAGAATAGTAAAGACTGAGTAAGAGTCACAAAAGTGAATATACCTGCCTTCCTGTGAAACAACTTAAAAACAACGGCCAGGACTAATAAAATGAAATATTCAAATGACCATGAATGAAAAATAGCACTTTTCACAGGCCTACCGACGCAATATTAGAGAGTAGATAAAATGGATGGTTCGGGAATTTACTGCATAGTATCCGGGGTCTGCAAACAGAAATATATTGGCGAAATGGGGAAAAAATCAGCGCACGAACCAAGGATGATCAATGCTGTGCAGGAGAATGGATACCGCAAGATTAAAAGTAGAGGATCACATCGCACTGATTTGACACGAGAACAATTTGAAGGGCCTCATAGGTTGAAAATAGAGCGAAACGATAGATTAATAAGGCTATTAACATTCTTGAGAAAATAAATTTAACGAACAGGAGATTGGAAAGGGGCAGACTTACTGATAACTTGGCTTATTGCCTAAGCGGACTTGGAGAAAACAAGAATATGACAAGACAAGCAAAGAGGAGACGTCTGGATCACGGATTTATTGTTAACCAGATGAAAAGGGACCGCAAATATAGAATTGGGTGAGGAAGTTTCGGAAGTAAAGCGAGGAGGTTCTCAATTAATGAAATCTGCTAGAAGCAACAACTACCACGATTTTGGCGAAACATCTGGGAATGTATCAAGTCCACGCTCCGACATTGGGAATTATTATACGACTACCGACAAAGTGCGTCCAACTAAATCACCCTAACAACACGAACAAGTTGCAAAAACGAGGTCAGACCACGCATATTCATCGAAAGGGGAATGCGACCGAAATAGAAGCCACAACTTCTTGGTCTTGATAACTACATGGAAAGTTCAGATCCCACGTGCGCGATTGTATCCCTCATTGTACATGGCTGGGTGATCATAGGACTCCAGCAGATTACGGAGACATCCTGCTCAGGGATCACTTTTGATCGCCGTCTTCTATTCTTCTACGACAAAATTTCAAACAAAAATATTTAGTCGGAACAGGTGCTGAAGTCAGCCTTCTACTCCGCTCACATAATGACAGGAGCAATATAAACCCCTTATTCCCTCCCAAAGCAGGAAACAAAACAGCGATCAGAACATACGGTACAAGTC